CTTTTTTTTTAAAGCACTCTAGGAACAAACACTCTACACTCTGAAGCATTTACTATTCTGATAGGTAATATGCTCTTATGGTGACCTTAGGTTGTTTTAGTCGTGCTCATTTCTTTGCTGCTGATTAATCTTCAAAAACTCAGCACAATGAAAAGCTGCTCGACACCGTTAATTATCAGGGAAATGCAAATTAAAACCACAACGAGATACTACTACACACCTATTAGAATGGCTAAAATTAAAAAGACTGACCATACTAAGTGTCAGTGATGATGTGGAGGAACTGGAACTCTTGTGCATTGCTGGCGGGATATAAAATGGCGCAACCTTTTTGGAAAACTATTTAGTAGTTTCTTAAAAAGTTACACACTGACAACAGCAACTCTAAAGATTAGACAGGAATCTTAGGGGGCAGTGAGTTCATGTTATTGGGGAAGAACAACTCTGAAAAACGTGGGTGAGAGTGGTTGCACAACTGGAAGAATGTAATCGCTGTCACTAAATTGTAGAAACTTGAATTGGTATATGTTTTTGCTGTGTATATTCTTGACAACAACAAAAAAATAAAATAAATTATTAAAGAAAAAAGTTAAATGTATGCCTACCATATGATCCAGTCATTCTATTCCTTGGTATTTACCCAAGAGAAACGAAAGCATGTGTCCCTACAAAGACTTGAACGTAAATATTCATAGAAGCTTTATTTGAAAGCAATCCAATGTCCATCAAGAGATGAATGGATAAACAAATTGTGGTATATCCATACAATGGAATAATACTCAGCAATAACAAGGAATGAACTATTGATACACTCAACAATATTGGTGAATCTCAAAATAATTATGTTGAGTGAAGGAAGTCAGACAAAAAAAGAATACATACTGTAGTCTAAAAAAATGCAAACTAATATATACCAACAGAAAGTGATGGATACGTTCACTATCTTGATTGTGGTGTTGGTTTCACAGGTGTAGACACATGTCAAAACTTAGCAAATTGTACAATTTAAATATGTGCAGCTTATTATATGTCAACTATACCTCAATAATTTTTTTTAAAAAAAGGATCAGTGCAGTTTTCACTTCTCATGACCTTGTCCAGAACCTTCCATGGTTTACCCAAAGTCTACAGAATCAAAGCCCTCCATGATCTGATCCCAAGCTATTTTTCTAGTATTGTCTTTCAGCACTGTCCTGAACAAATCCTTTGCTGTAGTCAAACTATATTCCTTGCTGTTCTCCAAGTGGAAACCCTGGTGGCTTAGTGGTTAAGTGTTATGGCTGCTAATCAAAAGGTCGGCCGTTCAAATTCACCAGGTGCTTGTTGGGAACTCTATGGGGCAGTTCTACTCTGTTCTATAGGGTTGACTATGGGTCAGAATCGACTCAATGGCAATGAGGTTATTCTCCAAGTACACTTCATGCTTTTTCCCTCCTCTACGGCTTTGCTCATGCTGTTCCTTTTGCCTAGAATGCCATCCCCTAAGTACTACTTTCTCTCTACCTGTAAAAGTATACCTATCCTTCAAGGCTTAGCTTAAGGCTCAGCTTAAGAACCTTTGTTGAGTTCTTGAGTCAGGAATTATCTTTTTCCTAAACTCCTGTAATACTTTTTGTGTGACATTTATCACAGTGTCTTGTCCTGTGCTTTTTTATATATGTGTACGTATGTATGTAAGTAGATCTCCCTGTTAGGATATTAGCTTCTTTTTTAGTTTGTATATTATTCAATTGCATTTACTTCTCTTTGGCTTTTTTAAAAATTTTATTGTGCTTTAAGCGAAAGTTTACTGTGCAAATTAGTTTCTCACTCAAAAATTTATACACAAACTGTTTTGTAACATTGGTTGCAATCCCTTCAATGTGTCAGCACTCTCCCCCTTTCCCTTTACACCCCAGGTTGCCTGTATTCATTCCTCCATGTTTCCTGTCCCTTTCTGCCCTCTCATCTTTGCTTTGGGGCAGGTGTTGCCCATTTGGTCTTATATATTTGACTGAACTAAGAAGCACATTCCTCACCTGTTATTGTTTTATACCCGTTGCCGTCGAGTCGATTCTGACTCAGAGTGACCCCATAGGACAGAGTAGAACTGCCCCATAAGGTTTCCAAGGAGCAGCTGGTGGATTTGAACTGTCAACCTTTTGGTTAGCAGCTGAGCTTTTAACCACTGCACTACCAGGATAGTCCTGTCTAATCTTTGGCTGAAAGGTGAACTTGGGGAGTGGCTTCAGATCTGAATCAGCAGGGTGCCTAGGGTAGACTATTAGCTTCTTGAGGGTAGGGACTATGTATTTTACTCATTTTTGTATTCCCCAGGCAAGTAGCACAAATTTTTTTTTATTATTTTTTGCAAATAGAAGGCAGTCAAATACTAACTAAATAGCCCAAACACAATTTTCTCAGCATCCTTGCCATTAAGAATCTTAGATTCTTGAACCCTGACATCACTCAGCCTTCTTCCTCTTCTCCTTCCTCTCCCCGTCCTGGTCCTCCTCCACTCCTCCTTCTTCCACCTTCTTCCTCGTCTTCAGGCTAAACCACACCCATTAGCTTAACTCTCTTCTTAAGCCAAGACCTGCTCCTCACCCTTTTTATGTTAGAAGTACACACGTTTGTATTTTGGAATTATTGTATGTTTTGTCTACACACCCAACACTATGTACTATCCAGTAAATATCAAATGATAGCTGCCTTAGCTCTTACTATTTAATTTTCCCCTTTTTCTCCAATGTCCTCGCCTTTGAGCATGGTGATTAAATCTCAGGCTCTGGAGCCACCAGGCTGGGTCTGAATTCCAACTCTGCCACCTACCGGCTGTGTGACCTCAAGCAAGTTACTTAACTCAGTTTTGTCATCTGTAAATTAGAGATGTTAATAGCGACTACATCGGAAGGCTGTTTTGCGGATGAAATGAGCTTGTACATGTAAAGTGTTTAGAACAGTGCCTAGCCTCTAGTAAGCACTCCATAGCTATTATTCTTTCCCCTGCACACCAGAAGCATTTGGCAAAGAAGTGGGACACACAGGGTTGGCAAGGGTAACGAAGCAGGCTAGTGCTCAGCCACATCATAATCATTTGGAGATTGCATTAAAAATACAGACTTCTGGGCCCCACCACGAGAGATTCTGATGGAACCCAGGAATCTATCTTTTTAGATATGCTTCCCAGCTGCTTTGAATGGACAGCTAGGTTTGGCATAACAGAAAATACACTAAATTTAGTAAGGGGATCACGGCTCTGGTGGTGTTTCTGCCAGTGACCCAACGTGTGACTTCTCTGAGACTCCATTTTCTCAGTTGTAAATGCAGTTAACAAGTTTGATTTATTCATAGGGCTGTTGTGGAGGTCAAGTTGTTAAAGTCATTTCTGCAGGGATGCTGGCTTACTGTAGTGAAAGATAAAAGGCTTTGGAATGAGACAGATCTGGACGTGAATTCCACTTCTGATGCTGTGGCACACATTGCTAGTTGACCATCCAGTACCCAGCCCCCTCTTCCTCCTGACAGAATCCTGATTCTGCTTAGGGTGTAAGCGTGCTCAGCTACAAACACTCTGCCTCCCAGACTCCCTTGCAGTTAGGGTGTCCATGTGACACAGTTCACTCAGAAGGCTTTTGTTTTCCAGATATAAGCACTCGTTGCTGTTTCTCCCTTTCCCTCTTCTTCTTGCCTGGAACATGGACAAGAGGCCTGGAGGTACAGGAGCCATTTTGTCATTATAAGAGTACAAATACCGGATGGAGGCCTACAAACTGAGGATGACAGAGTGAAGAGATGAAAAGATTCTAGGTCCCCAGTGACATCATCGGGCAGCTTACCAGCTCTGCACTGCCCCCAACAGACTTCTTAAGTGAGACAAATTATTCCCTAATTATTTAAGGCAGAGGTAATTTTTTTGGTTATTTGTACCCTAAAGCTTTTTAACTAATAACCTGTCCATTAGGGAGTTGTGAGAATTAAAAAACAATAAATAGAAAGATCCTAATACCAGTCTGACCCAGTGGGCATTCGTGTCTGTTCTTCTCCAGCTATGAGGCATTTTCTGTATTTATAGAATGATGCCCCTTTGAAATCCAGTATCTTAAATTTATCTGATTATGAGGCAGAAGAATTGGGCACTTGGGGCCGGGCCTCTGGAATAAAGAGCTCTTCCCTGGGGGCCAGGGAGGGTTCTGGGGGTTTGGAAAGGCACTAGCTTGCCACTCTCAAAACCCCGCTGAGCGGCTAGGCACAGCTAGTGTGTGTGGCCTGCTGCGTGGAGATGGCCTGGATCAAAGCTGACGTTAAAAATCTCCACGTGCTCTTGTGAGGCATAGTGTGAGTCCAAAGGACACAGACTTGTCCTTGCTCTGATGTAAATATATTGATTCTAAGGACCCTTTCCCCCCAACACATGCAACACTTCTCATGGTTTTCTCTTGTTGGACACGTAAGTACCCAGGTGTGAGGGTAGGTGCCTGAATATTGTGGGCAGGGAGACAGAAGCGTGTTGGTTCTCATTACCATTCTCACCTGCCCACAGTACAACTTCTATAGAATCATGCTAATGCCTTTATGACCCATGGGAATGTACATGACTCATCTAAGCCCGCCGCCCTCTCTGCCCACTGAATCCTGCAGGTCCCTGTTGGGTTCCTGGTACTGCCAATTTGATGTGATCATTTCAGCTGGTGAATTCCACAGAATCAGAGTCTACACTACTCGAGTTCTCACAAACCTTATACATCAAAATATAAAGAATACAAAGAGATTTCTGTGTTTGTTTTTTTTAACAAATGTATTCTTCCTCCATTATTTAAAAAAGATTGAATGGCAAAAACCTAAATCTCCCTTTACTATAAAAGTAAAGAAAACCATGCGGTGAGGTGGTCCTGCTGGACCTTCAGCACAGACACGCCTTCTTCCTCCCCAGGGTCCCCACAGTCCAAGGCAGGGTTTTTCCTCAGCAGACTGAGTTCTGACTAATCCTTTGGTGCCTTCCCAGAAGTGCAGACTTTCTCTCACCCCTTCCAGTCTGAGTGCTCCTCCCTCATGGCCCTCACAAGCCAGTCCCGCTCGGACCCCTCCTCAGAGTCACTGGTGTCGCTCGCCTCCATGACCAGTAACTCTGAGTAGTTGATCTTCCGCTCTTGAGGCAGCCGTGCCTGGATGGTGAGGAACAAGGCCAGCCAGAGCAGTAGGACCACGCAACAGGCCTGGTAGAGCACAGTGAGGCTGGAGTACATCACCACGAAGCCCCCTACAAAGCTGCCCAGGCTAGACCCGCCCCCGTAAAAGTGGCCTCGGAACATGGCACTCACAGACCTCTCTGTTCCTGGGGTGGCCAGGTCCTCTAGCGAGGCCCCCACTGCCCACCAAAGAGCACCGCTGCTGAAGGCACTCAAGATCTGGACAGGGAGGACGGACCACCAGCTCCACAGGAAGGAGTAGTAGAGCAGCTGTCCAGCGAGGCAGCCCAGCCCCAGCCCCACCGTGCCCACCCTGGACAGTTTCTTAAGCAATGCAATCTTGAACGAATGAAGTAGAATTTCCCCCAGCAAGCTGAGGGCGACTGAGAAGCCCATGACCAGCTCACTGCTGCCATGGTCTTTCATGTGCCAGAACAGAAAGTTCTGCACAGTACTGGTGGCAGCTCCCACCAAAAAGACAGTGAAGGCAAGGAGAATGAGACGGGGGTCGCCCCCTATGAGTGACAGTGCTTTGATGGTTTTGTAGCTGGGCTCCCGCCGCTTGCAGATGGGGACAGGAAAGGCAATGCTCACCAGTAGGGCCAGGGTGCTGACAAGTGAGTAGCCATAGAAGTGTACCACACCCCGGGGGCCATTTGTCATCAGGAAGCAGTCCAGCTGCCCCACCAAAGCAGAGATGCTACACACACCAACTGACATGCCCAGCAACCTCCCGACCCACAGGCTTCGGTAGCGATCAGTGGCATCCACAAAGTCCAGGTATTCATAAAGGCTGTCATCTGCCACCTGCTCCAGGGGGGCTGTCAGCAGCTCCCAGAACACCATGGACCCCAAGGAGAGGATGAAAGTCCACCGCAACCCTTCCAAGGAGAGGCCAAGGGCCTGGGCTTTCCCCTTGACTACGGACAAGTTGGCTGGACGTCCCAGCTCTGTACCCTCAGGAAGCAGAGAGAGGGCAGTTTTGACCACCTCAAAAGAGGTAACGTGATGGAGAACTTGGGATGTCGTCCTGGCTCCTTCAACAGAGTCCACCAAGTAGTTGGGCAGATGACTGAAAGGCTCTTGGTGACTTTCATCAGCTCCTATTCTGAAGCCAGAGGTTTCCATGATTCCAGTACTCTTGGCTAGGAGACCTGGAGGCCCCGCTCGGTGGTTTGAGGTCGCCTCTTGCGCTGAGGTGATGTTCACTGTTCGTGAGACCCCCAGTGGTATGACTGTGGTGGTCACGCTGCTGCTCCCATTACATGAACGATACACCAGGTCTTTGTCCAAAGGCGGGACCAGGACCATCAGCAGGCTGGCTCCCACCGAGCCGAGCAGCGAGCCTATCAGAAGCACTCTCCTTTTCTGGTAGCTTTTGGCCAGGAAGGCACAGAAGGGAGCCCAGAAGGCTGCGATCAGGTGCTTGGTTCCCATTAGGAGGCCCACCCAGGGCGCCGTTAGGCCCAGCTGCCTCAGGTAGAGGGTCAGGAACGGGGTCACGCAGGCATCCCGGACCCCACACACCAGGTGGAAGAGCCTAGCCACCCCGAGCGCCCTGCTGATGTCCCACTGCGGGTTGGCGCTCATGGCTGCCCGGCTCCAATCCTCCCCGGCCGGCGGAGGAGCAGCTGGGCGCAGGGCGGGCGCGGCGCCCTCGCACGCGGGCCTTTCAGGAGGCCTGGGCGGGCGGCGGCGGCCGGGGAGGGCACAGCCCCATGGCCGGGAAGGGAAGCTCGAGGGCCCGGGGGGCGCAGCGAGCCAGTAGCGCCTCAGACCTCGGACCGGGGCGCGATCACCCGGCCAACGGCCGCCCCCACCACGTCCGGCCAAGGGCCCGGAAGTGGCCCCGCCCCGAGGGGAGGGGCAGGGGGCGGGGCGAGGCCGGTGCACCTGCAGGCCGCACCTGCAGCTTCCTGCTGCCCTCCAGGGCCCTTGGCCGCAGCCCCACCTGCCCGGCCGCGCGCGGGTGTGCGAGGCTCGCGGCCTGTGGCCTGCAGGGCGCGCTCCAAGCTAGGCCACGGGGACCCGCCGGCCTCTGGCTGCCCCGCGTCGTCCACGGAGTCTGGGCTAAATCGCTGAACTGCTTCAGGCAAGTAAAACTGCTCGAAGTGTGAAGCAGGGAACGAGAATGGAATTAATGACATACACGAGGCCCCTTCAGGTCTTTACTCAAGTGTTCCCTGAGCGATGACCATCCTGCTACCCTCAGTGATAGTCCGTGGCCACTCAGGCAGAGGCGTAAACAAGGTGTAACAGGTAGGGCGCGTGCCCTGAGCGCCGCTTGAGGCGGGGCGCCAATTAACAGTTTCTGTTGGCCATCAGGAAACCCGGGTGGCATAGTGGTTAAGAGCTACGGCTGCTAACCAAAAGGTCGGCAGTTTGAATCCAGCAGGCACTCCTTGGAAACCCTGTGGGGCAGTTCTTCTCGGTCCTATAGGGTTGCTATGAGTTGGAATCGACTGGACGGCAGTGGGTTTTTTTAATTGGCCGTCAGTTTCCATCGCCAGCTATGAGAGATCATTCAGCAATTTAACACTAATTTCCCTAGGCGCTATTTTCCGTAGCGCCGGCCACCCTAACTAAAATGGCAAATCTTTCTCCCCTCTACACACACACACACACACACACACACACGCACACACACACAGACACACACAGACACACACACACACACACACACACACACACACACGACTGTTTCACTGTATGCTAGCTGCTCCAGAAGAGGCAGGACCTTGGATGACACAATTTTCTTCAGCTGAGACAATCCCCAAAGAGGGCTGCCTTCCAGTAGCACACCCAGCAGCTGGGAGGAGAAGTCCTTCATTCCTGAAGGGGATCTGGGCAGCATATCACAGCTTCCACCACTGTATGTTTGTACTGGATAGTTGTAATCTACACCTAAAGGTGGCCAGTTATAGTTGTTAGCTGCTGTCCAGTTGGCCCCCAACTCATGGCGACCCCATGCACAATGGAATCAGACTGTTGTGATCCATAGGCTTTTCACTGGCTGATTTTTTGGAAGTGATCGCCAGGCCTTTCTTTCCCAGAGGTGGTTAGATAGCATTTAATCAAAAAGTCACATTCCAATGCTAATACAAGTACTTCAGAAATCTTTATTTCAAATTAACGGAAGTGGCTTCATCATTAACTAGCATAACAGATATTGGAAATAGTTCTTTACTGGTGAAATTAGTGGTGTCCAAGTCACGCGAATCAGTTATAAATACTTCAGAGGCATTTCCCCCTTATGTGAACAGGGTATAAGAATTTAGAGATTCCAGTTGTCTAAACTCTTCGGAATGGTGCTGTACACTTTAGTCTCAAATTTTCCAGTGTCCAGCCACTGACTCAAAGGAATCTTGCTGCCTGAATCCGAATATAAGGTAGCTGAGTCCCACCCTTAGAATACTGAGACATTTGCCCTGAGTGAACATTTCCTATAAGATTTGGTCAAAGCATCTACAAGGACAGAGATCTCTGTCATCTTCCAACTTACAGAACAGGTTGTTTGATTATTTGGGGGTGTGAGTACTACTTGTCAACGAATGTCTGTGTAACAGAATTTGGTTTGTGACTTGATTTCATTGTAAAGTGGTGAAGAGGTTGTTGGGGAGGAGACCCAGACCCCTCACTTAACTCTGTCCATTGCTGCTCAGTTGATTCCAACTCATGGTGACCCCATGTGTTACAGAGTACAACTACTACATAAGGTTTTCTTGGCTGTAGTCTTTATGGAAGCAGATTGCCAGACCTTTCTTCCATGGCACTGCTGAGTGAGTTCTGTCATGGATTGAATTGTGTACCCCAAAAATACCTGTCAACTGGGCTAGGTCATGATTCCCAGTATTGTATGATTGTCTACCATTTTGTCATCTGATGTGATTTCCCTATGTGTTATAAATCCTGTCACTATGATGTAATGAGATGGATTAGTGGCAGTGGTATTGATGAGATCTACAAGATTAGATAGTGTTTTAAGACAGTCTCTTCTGAGATATAAAGGAGAGAAATGGGCAGAGAGACATGGGGACCACATACCACCAAGAAAGCAGTGCCAGGAGCAGAGCACGTCCTTTGGACCTGAGGTTCCTGTGCTGAGATGCTCCCAGACCAAGAGAAGACTGATGACAAGGACCCTCCTCCAGAGCTGACAGAGAAAGAAAGCCTTCCCCTAGAGTCAGCACCCTGAATACGGACTTCTAGCCTACTGGACTGTGAGAGAATTAACTTTTCTTTGTCAAAGCTATCCACTTGTGGTATTTCTGTTATAGCAGCACTAGATAACTAAGACAGGTTTGAACTGCCAGCCTTTAGGTTAGTAACTGAGCATAAACCATTTGCATCACCCAGACCTCACCTAACCTCTAACAATTGTTAAACTCTGTTCTTTACCTAAAGAACCTAATAAATGCCCAAATTGATATGAGTCAGTTCACATCATCCCCAATGGCAGAAAACAAAGAAGGCTAGCCACCTCCAGGTAAGTTCACTCAGATTCAGCAATTTCTTAGTCAATTCAGGTTTAAAGCCCACTCAGTCACATAGAGGACTGACCCCCTTTCCTCCCTGGGTTCTGCAGTGGGGCAGCTACAGGGGAAGACATCACATCCATCCATTGTTAGGTCTTGCTCTGTCCTGGGCTGGTGTCCACTGAGGGGCAGGCACTTCTTCAGGCTGGTATCCATTGGGTGCTCACGTTCCCCATCTGGCCTTCGGTTCCATGGTCCACACTGCTGCCCACATGGTCCCCAGCTGCACCGCTTTGTCATAACTGCGAGACCCCTTGGACTTGTCTGCTTTCAGCTACCTGAGAACCCCCTTATCTGCTTCCCATGCTCCATGAGGCACAGGGAGCTTCTCTAAGGCTGCCCGAGGGCCCACCTGCCGAGGCAGCCCTGGCAGCCCCCCTTCACTGTTCTCCCAGCCATGGAGAATGTACTCTGGGGCTTGTGTCCACATCTGGCCCAAAAAGGCCAAGAGTGCCCACCCCTCTACTCTTGGATTGTCGAACTTAAAAGGGATTTTTCCACCACCACCCCACTGTCCTCTGGGATGCCACCAGGAATAGGGATGGACTTAATTAAGTCCAAGCCTTTATATAGTTTCTATGTGACTTTTTCCTTGACCCCTTACCAAGTCTTGGGGGTAGGGCCACTGGTTCTTTGTCATTTCTTTTTCTTACTTTACACCTTAATAGAAAATTTTTAATCAAAAGCCAAACATTTTGATATCTTTAATCTCTGACTCCTCTGAAACCATCCCGCATCCCTACCTCCACTTTGGGCCGATTTTGGTCAGGAGAGCTAGTCCCTGGGTTGACATGACTGAGGAGAAGAGGGAGCAGGCAGACAGAACACACTAGTTAATAATTCACAAAACTCTCTTAACTGTCCTAAGTGGGTTCATTAAGTTATATTAAGACCCACTCCCATGGTTTCTATTCAGATACCAATATTGCTGGGTATTAGATGAAACAGTAACACTTTAGTGTGCATTTATTGAATCTGACATTTCCCTCACAACTGGGAGTGAGTGGGGTGGGCAGTGACCCAGGAGAGAGAAGGGAACAGACTTGGGAGGGGGAGGGTGCAGTGGCCTTTACCTACTTCCCATTTTCTCCTGGGTCACAGAGCCATGACCAAACAGCAGCTCTAACCTTGGTTTAAGGGATGGGTGGGGAGTGTGAGTGGGAGAAGGGGGATTTTAAAATAAATGAAGGCGTGGACATTTGTGCTAGAAGTTGGGCTTTGTGTGGGTTCACTCATGCAGCTGCAGCTTCGCCTCGGGCCTGTATGGGCCTTTCCCACCACAGACCCTGTGGCCAGGCTCCTGTCCTCCAGGCTCTCCTGGTCAGATCCCACGGCCGGGCCCCTGTGCTCCAGGCTCTTCTAGTCAGACCCCGTGGCCAGGTCCCTGTGCTCCAGGCTCTCCTAGTCAGACCCCGTGGCCAGGTCCCTGTGCGTCAGGCTTTCCTGGTCAGACCCCATGGCCAGGTCCCTGTGCCCCAGGCTCTCCTAGTCAGACCCCGTGGCCAGGTCCCTGTGCTCCAGGCTCTCCTAGTCAGACCCCATGGCCAGGTCCCTGTGCTCCAGGCTCTCCTGGTCAGGGCAGCAGCTGCCCAGGGGAGCTGGACCTCGTCCTGGCTGTTGGTGAGTGGGTAGTGTGTCCTTCCTCTTGGGCTCTCTGCTCTCAGCCTCTGCTCCTCCACTGCCCCTGTGCAGGGGCAGATTAACCAGTAAGCAAAGTATGCAGGGGCCTACTTGTGCTTAAGCCCGTGCATACCTTGCTTATTGGGTAATCCATCCCTGCCCCTGTGGCTCACTGGACGATGCCAGAGAACGTGTTGATGGGCATCAGGAGGGGCTTGGGCTTGGCTTTGGTCATTTCCATCTCCTTCTGCTGGTATAAACTGAGCCACGGCGCCTTGGACTTCTGCACCCTGGAACACGGCTCTGGGCAGGGAGCAACCTCGAATCTGTGGGTAGAGAGAGGCCAGGTCAGGTGACAAATCTCTGAGGGGTCAAGTCTGCCCAGGGCATTTTAAAGGTAGACCCTTTATTGTAGGGATATAGAGGAAGGGGCCTCGCAGAGGGAGGAGGGAGAGTCGGGATGAGAAAGAGTATGCTGGGTCTGACACCTGCAGAGGGGAAGAAGCCTTCGCCAAACACACCTGCCCAGGTGAAACTAGTAAAGGTCACATTAACTGGGGCACAGATGCCACAGAAGGCCAGCCTGAACTGGAAAGGCCAGTGCTGGCAGAGGGGGTTAGGTCAGGAGGGCTGCATGCTGAGTGTATGTATAGGAATCCTGGGAAATTTTTAATGTCAGCTGCTGCCCAGTGTTAGTCATTCATCTGCCTCTTCTTCCTGGACTCAAGTCATAGGGCAGTGGCCCAAGTCCACGCCCATCAGACCACCTGCTTGGCCAGAGGATCTGCCTCTGGTAGGTGTCCTGGGCTGGAAGCAGGAGATGGCAGGAGCTGGGCCCCATGAGGCCTGGAGCCCTAGGGGTGGCAGGCCCAACCTCACCTGACCACATCCTTAAAGGTGCGCTGATTGTCCTTGTCCAGCGACAGTGTCAGCAGCCTTTGGTCTTGGCTCTGGATCTGGATATTGGCCGTCCGGAAGGTGTTTGTCACTGTCTGCAACAAAGAGACAGCTCATGTGAGTGTCACCTATATTCAGCACATGACGCTGCCAATATCCCCAACCCTGAAATATGGGTGTTTCTTTGGACCAGCTCGTGGGGTCCCTGGATCTTTTCATGCAGGTGACTCTGGGCAGTGACAACCCTGCAGAAATTGCTTCTAAGCTGCCCTCACCCTTGGGTCTCTCATCATTTCTGCAGCTCTGTTCCCAACCTGTTGTCTTTAATCTTGAACAGAAACTGGAATGCTGTGAATGGCGCTTGCAAGGTTATCAAGTGACCCGAGTTTGAGGTATTGATTTATTTAACTAACATTTTCTGAGTACCTCCTAGATGACAGGCATATTGTTATGTATGGGATCTAGGCGGGCATTTCAGGAGTTTTGTAAGCCCTGACCCCAGTTCTTAGCGACAGATTACATATAAAATTATTTACCTGGGCAGAGACAGAGGGTCTAGAAAGCAGCTAGGTATCCCCACGCCTCAAACCAGGCCTGCATCCAGGGTGCTTGCTTCAGTTTGTACCGTGGGATTAGCCCGTGGGGCCAGACACAAGTGGAAGGACTCCATGCTCTGCATGGGTGACTTGGGGCAAGGTGTTCCTGCCTTCCACTCCCCAGAGCCCTGCTCGGCTTCTCTGCAAAGTACCCAGGCCCAAAGGAAAGCAGTCTCCAGGCAGCCCGCCAACCCCAGCCTGTGGGGGCTGCTCCAGAGAGGCCCCTCCCATTGGGCAGAGAATTTGGAGGGTCTTGGGTTCCAGGCTGCCATTCTGGGTTACCTCTGTGGCCCATTCCACACGCAGACTGCTGCTCTGTACTTTACCACCACAGAACACTTGAGTTGCTGGGGACATTAGAGTCTACCCCATTCAGATGTTCTTAACCCTGGCTGCTCATGAGAATTACCTTTCAAACAATACAATTAGAAATTTTTATTTAAGTGGTCTGGAGTTGAGTCCAGGTATGGATATTCTTTTTAAAAGCTCCCTAGTTGTAGCCAAGGAGTCCCTGGGTGGTACAGACGGTTAAGTGCTTCGCTGCTAACCAAAAGGTTGGCAGTTCGAATCCACCCAGAGGGGCCTCAAAAGAAAGGCCTGGCAATCTACTTCTGAAAAATCATAGCCATGGAAAACCCTGTGGAGCACAGTTCTACTCTGACACACATGGGGCTCCGTGAGCTGGAATTGACTCCATGGCAGCTGGTTACCTTATAGGACTGCTGTGAAGATTAAATAAGACAGTATATGTTAAGTGTCTGGAACATAGTAGTTTGTTGTTTATTATTACTACAACTTTCATTAATTATCATTTTCCAATTAGGAGCCTAGCATGAGGAATGAACTGCGTAATGCAGCCTCATTGTCAGAAGGGCAGGGGAATCCACTGTGGACTCTTTCTCTCCTCACGTTTTCTCCAAGCCCAGGCCCCCTCCCGCCACCACCCTATCTGTAGATTCCTGGCTGAGTCTGAACAGAAGGGTTGTGAGTAAAGACAGAAAGATTCACCAGAATCTTTGCCAAGACAGTGGGGAGCCCATGGCAGAGGGTACCTACCACACAGGGGAGAGGGGACGTCTCCGATGCTGTGTGACAGAACCTGCGGCAGCTTTGGTGCCCTGGAGCCCCTAGCCCTGACAGGCAGCTGTGGGTGGGGGAGCAGGCAGTGGACACTGATAGACAGCTGACAGGGTGGTGGTGAGCACTCAGATGTCCTCTATGACCTTTCAGAAATACCTGGAGAGGCTATGCAGGGAGGCTGCAGTCCTGCATGAGCTGGGGCTTGGGAGATAGCCAGGGGCATTCATTTTATGCTAGGTAATGAGTCCCACCTGAACTCACTCCAGCTGGTGAGGCTGAGGGACACTCCAGGTTCCTACAGGTGAAGAGACTGAGGTCCAGAGGGGTTGAATGTGACCTGCTGTAGGTTTCATAGTGGGAGGTGTTGGGCCAGGTGCTTGATTCTCAACTCAGTGCTCTTTCTACTGCATCAGGCTGCTCTGGTGTCTCCTGTTGGATCTGAGCCTCCATGACCCTGCCTGCAGACCTGCCTTCTCCACTAGAAAATCGGAAGCAGCCTCGGGGCCTCCTCCCACCTACCTGCAGGGTAGGTCTCTTATTTCCCTTTTGTGGTCAGCACTGCTAGACATACCCTACCTGTTTGGCTCTGCCCCTTAAAGACAACAAACGTCTTGGATTTCAGTCTAAGTCCAGCTGTAGGAGTGAGGCGAAAGAACCAGTTGCAGAATTTGCCAAGGGTCCAGTCTCACAAGATGAGGGGATAGGCAAAGTGCTGCTAATTGCCTCCTCTTCTCTGTTGGTGACTTCCACACCCCAAAGCCCTGAGATTCTACTGTTCCTGCTTTATTTCCTATTACTTTCTATATCAAACTTCCAATCCTGCCAGGGTGGTATATTTGCTGACCCTGAAACTCACCAAGCCAGCCACAGTGCCCTTGCCCATGCTGCTCTCTGAGCAGGGAATGCCTTCACTCCAGCTCACCATGAACTTCTCCCCGCTGCTCAGTTTCTCATCTGCTTCATCTCTACAGAACACTCACGCTGACCTGCCTGGGCTCCAAAAGGAAAGCACAGGCTACCAGAATTCCCCCCACCCCCCGCCACCTCCCCCGCAGCAAATCAGTGCAGGGATGAAAGAGAACTTGTTTGGGTGACAAGTTTAGATTTTCAAAAAGCCCCTGACCAGGTTGTTTAAAGAGGTCATTAAAAGCAGAAACTATTATAAGGAACTGACTTTGAAAGAGGAAACACAACTTAAGGGTAAATGGGTCCACCTTGGAGCTTAAAGCTTTAATACCTGGTTGCCCTATAGGAGGAGTCCCTGGTATAGCGCAAACCGTTAACGCATTCAGCTCCTAACCAAAACGTTAAAGGTTCGAGTCCACCCAGAGGTGCCTTGGGAGAAAGGCCTAGAGAGCTACTTCCAAAAAACCCGTCATTGAAAACCCTATGAACCACAGTTCTACTCTGACACACATGGGGTTACCATGAGTCAGAATTGACAGCAAGTGGGACTGGCCCTATACCAAAAAAAACCCAAACTCGTTGCCGTCGAGTCGATTCTGACTCATAGCGACCCTATAGGACAGAGTAGAACTGCCCCATAGGGTTTCCAAGGAGCAGCTGGACTGGCCTTATAGGAAGGCAGATTTCAACTCAGAACTGTAGATCTCCCAGCCAGTCAGAGCTCTCCTCCAGTGGCTAGCCCACCTCAGGGGAAGTGAGCTTCCGATTCAGGGATAAAATCTTCTCAGGGGGAGGATGGACTAGAGACTTAGAGTCTAGTGAGCTCCCACTATGTGCCGGATACCACACTGAGTTCTGGGGATAACAGGGATGACTAAGCTGTGGGCCCTGAGCTCAGGGAGCTCATGGTCCATTAACATAAAAAGATCATGTCATTTATAGTGTTGCAAATGATTCATGGCTGTGCCCCCGGGGTTCTAGGGAGCACAGAGGTGGGGCACCTATCTCACAGTAAGACAGAGGTTCCCAGGCTGCAGAAAATTCCACTGCCTCAAGCAGCTTGCTTGGTAAGCCCAGTAGCTTTGCATTAGAATCCTGGTTCCTTTGGTTGGTATGCCCTGTAACTTTACATTAAAATCCTGGTTCCCCTCTCAACTGCTGCCCCAAAACTAGAGGAAATTGGCAGAAACCGGTTTAGACGCCATGTTGACATTCAGGATAACCTTTTAGCTCATTAAATACCTCATGCATAGTAACCTACCCACCTCTGAATGGAGTTTAACCACTATTTTCTGAACATGTGATACATGAAGTTATATGTAAACCCCACTGTGCCTGCGTAGTATGAGTAAGAATATTCCTGATGTGACTTGTATGAACTTCCTATTTGTAAACCCCTTAAAAGTAACCTTTCCCCTCACCCTTGCTGAGCAGTCTTGGTGGCAGCAGCTCTGACTGCTCCTTTCCTTTTGCAAGGAAATAAAGGCACCTTTCTCCCCTCCCACCTCGGTTTCTCCTTTATTGGCTGAGAGGAGCCACACCAAGCAGAACCTGGGATTTCCACCCAGCAACAACAGGGTGGGGATAGGGGGGTAAGGGGAGAGTGGGAAGGGGTATAGGATGTGGAAGGAAGGAGGAGGAGCATCAGGGACCATCTCTCAGTGGAGATGACACCTGAGTTTCCTCTTGAAGGATGAGTAGGAGTTAGGCAAAGAAGGTGGGGAAGAGGAAGGCAGGAATGGTGTTGTCAGCTGAATGAACAGCGTGAACAAAGGCACAGAGGCGTGCCTGATGGAACTACCTAAAAAAATAGTTCTTATGGTGAGCCCATGGAAACCCTGGTGGCGTAGTGGTTAAGAGCTATGGCTGCTAACCAAAGGGTCGGAGTTTGAATCCACTAGCCACTCCTTGGAAACCCTAAGGGGCAGTTCTACTCTGTCCTATGGGGTCGCTATGAGTCAGAATCGACTTGACGGCAACAGGTTTGGTTGGTTTTTTTTTTTTTTTAACAGTGAGCCCATGTGTGGCAGAATAGTACTGTGCTCCACAGAGTTTTCAATGGCTGATTTTTTGGAAGTAGATCACCAGGGCTTTCTTTTGAGGTGCCTCTGGGTGGACTCAAACCTCCAAGCTTTTGGTTCGTGGCCAAGTATGTTAACTATTTGCACCACCCAGGGGTTCTACTAGAACTATGAACACTTCCAAACACCATGGGGCAAAGGGTCTGCAGGGAGTGACTGGAGCTGTGGATGGAGAGGAAAAGGAGCCAGGCTACACAACACCAAGGGTTTTCCTGCTGTCCTGCTGTGCAGAATGGGAAATGACAGAGGGGTGTTAATACAAAGTGACTTGTCAAGGTGGAGCCAAGATGGCAGAGTAGTCAGATGCTTCCAGTGGACCCTCTTACAACAAAGACCCGAAAAAAACAAGTGAATCAATTATATATGACAATCTAGGTGCCCTGAACATCTACGGCAAAGTTGAGGAACCAGACTGAGTGGCAGGGGTGAGGG